GACACCTACTGCACTGGTCAGGGTTCAGGTGTCTCGACAGACTGAGCTCTTGAAGGGCTCACCTAAGTGGCCCCAATGAACGGCACGGAGTGGGGTGCATTTGGAGAATATGCTAGGTGAATGTAGAATTCACTCATTCACTCATTCATTCATTCATTCATTCACTATAATATTAGACCAATAGAGGCAGCTCTGGCCAGCTTCTTCCCCCCAATAGCCTACCACTTGTGCCTGCTCTCAGGCTGCAGAAGTCTGACTGTGAGAGCTGCTGAGCCCAGACGCTAAGCCCAGAGAGGGCTGGGGCCTTGCTCGAGGTCACACAGGGAACCCAAGACCCTGGACTCCCATGCAGGCCTCTCTCCAGGCTGGTCACTAGCAGGAGAGGGAACCAGGAAGGGACTCTGGGGCGGGGGGGGAGGGGTGCAATTCCAGGCCAACAGAGTAAGCCTGGGGGTCACTCTGGTTTGCCCCAGGGATCTTTACCTGCTTTAAGGGGAGAGGCCACTTCTCCCTGCCCCAAGGCTATGCCCTTGACCTCCAGACTCCAGCAGGACCGAGCCGCTCCTGATCCCTGGACTCTTCCCCTCACGCCCAGGCCTTGGCCTGTGCTGCTACCTGGACACACCTGTTCAGCTCCCACTCAGCCCTCGGGCCTCCTGGGCCTCCTGGAATCTGGAAAATTATATGTAGCCTGTCAACAAACAAGCCATGGATTCACGGATTGCTCTCATTCCCTCCCTCCCATTCATTCATTCACTCATTCATTCTTTAACATTATTAAGGACCTACAGGAGTAGAAGAACCACTTCCAAGTGGTGTGGTGATGACGTGTGGCTGGCACATAGTAGGTGTTCAATAAATGGCAGCCATTTGTGGGCCAGATCCCGCGCCTGAGCCTTTGAGAGTGGGTGGGATCATCTTCCAGACCGCTCTGACTCCCTTCTCCTCCCTGACCTGGCAATATCCCTCTCCCACACCAGCCCACGGAAGGCTCGTTTCTCGGGACTGAGGCTCCAGGCAGCCCTTGACCTCCCTACTCAGACCCAGGTGCGAACAGCTCCAGGTTCTGATGCTACGAGGAACACAAAGCACAGGGGATCTATAAATATGAGACGATCGCTCAGAAAGGGTCCTCCCGCAGCCCCGCCGCGCCCCAGCCGGCGAGCGAGCAGCCGGGAGGAAGCCGCCTCTGCCTCCGTGCTGGCTTCTCTGTGCCGCCCTGATTACAGTGAGAGTCAGGAAAATTAAGGGTTTTCGGGGATGCTGCCAGGGCCCGTGCTGCTGCCTCCCCGCCCTGCACATCACAGATGCCAGGCAGAGCCGCCTCCAGGAGCCACTTGCCCCAGCCAGCGGTGCCACACATGGCCTGGCAGAGTCCACACACCACAGTTTATAAGGGGCTTTCTCCCACAGTCCTCCTTGGCCCTAGGAGTGGGAAGGGCCTCTGCTGTGGTTGGTGGGAGACCGGGGTTCAGAGAAGGGAAAGGACCTGTCCAGGGCTGCAGAGATCTCGGGCATTGGGGCCTCAAAAGGAGCCAGACCTGTGAAGACCCTGTCCCAAGCACGGCCCGAGGCCTTGACCCTTGGTCTGCAGGTGGGGTGACCTTGGCCATCCAGGCCTCCACATTTGCAAGCGCTCCTCATTCAGCCACCCCCACTCACTCTGGGGTGCCTACTCCAATCCTATCTTGCTGGCTCAGGAGACTCCAGGATATCACCCACGCTATTCCTGCCCCCAAAGAACCACACTGGCAATGGGGTGTGGCCCAGACGAGGAAGGAAATACCTCTACACCAGGCAGGAAGCGGAAACGCTAGCGCAGAAATTCCCATCCAACGTGCTGGGTTCCAGAGCACACCAGCCCAGCGGCCCTGGGCCAGCCCTGAGCCTCAGTCTCCTCTCCTGTAACTGAGGAATTAACAGCACCTGCCTGCCTTGCAAGTGCTGAATGAGAGAGGGTGTCTGGGGCTGGCGCGCGCCCACACTCTGCACACGCTCAATGAACCGGCCCTGGTCCAGCCTTTTTCGGGCTCCTGGGTCTTCCTCTGTGGCCGGCCTCCCCCAGCGGGGTCTGGCCCTGCCCCCTGACGCAGGGCAAGAGGAGGCCTGCCGGCCCCCGGACACAGCGCGAGTCCCAGACCCTCAGGCCTGCCCTGGCCGCCGCCCCCACCCTCC